AATTCCAAAACTTGTAGATGACTATAAACTCCAAGACTTATAGATGACTATAAATACATACAGTAAAATTTAGTAGAGAGCTATTCTTGGGAAATGCAAATATATAAAACAAAAGGAATATTGCAGCTAGGTGCTAGTAGCTCATACCTATAATCCTAGCTACTCTGGAGGTTGAGATCTGAGGACTGCCGTTCAAATATAATCAGGGCAGGAACAGCTGTGAGACTCATGTCTCCAATTAAACACCCATAAGCTGACGTGTGTGTGTGCAGTGTGCATGCACACATGTGCGTGCACATACATGTACACACACAGATAACCCACAAATAACCCACAAAGGAATAGTATGCTACTACTGACTGAGGAAAACATTTTTAAAAAGGTCTTCCCCAGAGTTCTACTTTCAATATTTCAATTCAAAATTTAAGACAGATACATTACTTAGTGAGTGATAGTTAAAACCACTTTAGGTTGTAGAACTAGAAGTCAAATCCAAAAGAGAAATACTAATTACTATATTCTAAGGAGAAAAATGACTTTGACTTTGACTTCCCTTACAAATATGGGGAAAGAACTACAAAGTTCCCAGTACATGCACATTGGTTGACAGTAGACATGGCAGTCAAGGCCCATCAACACATTCAGCTGGGCAGTTAAGATTCCTTAAGACTCTTATCTCCAATTAAACACCAAAAAGCCAAAAGTGTATCTGTGGTTCAAGTGGTAGCGTGCTAGCCTTGAGCAAAACCAAACAAAAGCTCAGGGACAGTACCCAGGACACAAGTTCAAGCCCCAGGACTGGCACATGCACAAAAAGACCATCCCATAATCATGTAGGAGAATATCCCTGATAGTTGTCAGTCTGGTATTAAAAGCTCCTATCCTGTCCTCTTCCTCTTTTTCCTCTTGTTGTTAAGATCCTTCCTTCCTTCTTTCTCTCCTTCCTCTCTCCATCCCTCCCTCATCCCCTGGGTGCATGTGTACGCCCGTGTGTGTGTGTGTGTGTGTGTGTGTGTGTGTGTGTGTGTGTAGAATTTCCAGGGATCTGAAAGGTTATTTATTATCTATAACTTTTTAAAGTCAGTGTTTAATACTATGCTGTATAAACTTTCCAAAGATAGTACCTCTGCACTTTAACAATTCTTCCAGCAGCTAACCTAAGTTTATTGAATGGTTTATTGTATCTTTATAGTCAAGAGGTTAAAGGAAAGGTGTAACAAAATTGGTAAACCAACAGCACCTCAGAACTGAACAATCAATGGTGACTGCTTTAGCAAAGCTTCCTCTATCTCTGAGGACAGGCAGAGAATTAGGGGGCTATTTTGGAGCGCAAGGCAGCAAGCTGTCTTGGCTCTACAGTGTAGGGGTGGTACCTCTACTACAATGCCTCTTACTGTAGTTAACCATCAGAGCTACTCACAGAAGTTTAGAATGAATAGGAATATGTATTAGATGACAAGAGGAAGAAGAGAGGGGAGGAGGAAAAAGCAGACACACGAGACTACTTTGCCCTCTAAGACAGAAGTCAGGGAAAGGATGGACTGAGTGGCTGTGACTTGAAAGGATTCCAGCTGTGTTAGGAAATGCTGGGTCACATCTGGCTGCAGGACTGATTAGGATGCCAAAGTTGTTTCCCCACTCGATTAACGGAGGCTTTGGGACCACAGCGCTGGACATAAAGCTGTAGTTCAGTAAATACTTAAGAGCAGTATATCTCATAGCCTTGAGCTACAAACACTCAGAGAAAGTGTCCAGGCCCAGAGATCAAGTCCCAGGACTAGAAAAGCAAAAGTTTCTTTTAAATATCTAGGACAGGCAGGCAAGAGTTGGTAATCTTTCCTATAATGAGCCAGACATCAATTGTTTTAGGCTTTGTATACAATGTGCCATAGTAATGAAAAAAACAATTGTCTACAAGTGGGCAGGGTAGTGTGTTAATAAAACTTTATTCACAAAAAGAGGTTAAGGTAAAGTTTGGCCAATGGACTAGAATTTGTCAACTCCTGTTGATGATTTCAAGATATCATTATATGTGGAAATGATAAGATCGACAAACTTTAGCTTCCTCCTTTCCCAAGGAGGCATTATAGTTTTTGACAGTAAAAGGTTAGTTGGCAGGTTGGGGATGCAAGTCAGTGGTGGAATGCCTGCATAGTGTACACAAGACCCTGATCCTCAGTATTGACCACAAAACAAACCCTAGATTAGAAAATAATAGGATATAGTATCCCAAAGCTTCAATGGCTTCACTGTGCAGTATCTACTGTAAACTTCCTCCACAATAAACAGACAAGGGCGGATCTTAGAATGGAGCTGTAGTTTCCCAAGTGGTAAATTAGCGTGCTTTCATCTCTGCCTTATATTTATGCAAAGGGAATATAGACTGTCCCTCAGAAGCCCAGGTGAAAGTTCAATCATAACCAAGAGTAGCGTACTCTCTAGGCAATCAGCAAGGCTCACATGCAACAACAAAAAATGATTTTAGAAGGAGGCACAGGATTTGAATCTTCATTTCTCCAAAAGAGATACATGCATGGCCAATAAGCAGGTAAAAAGAGACTTATCATCACTAATGATTGGGAAAGTAACAACCCAAAGTACCATTTCACGCTTGTTAGGATGGTTTCGTACAAACAAACATCTCACCCAAATAAAAGTCCAGCAAACATCACTGGTGTGGAGAAATCAGAACTTGTTTATACCACTGGTCAGAATTAAAAAAAATGTGAAACTACTATGGAAAAAATCCCATGACAGTTTCTCAAAATTTTTTTTTAAAACTTACTGAATGGCACAGTGATTTCATATCGGGGTATGTACTCAAAAGAACTGAGAGCAGAGACTTGGGACATGTGAATGCCACGTTCATAACACCATTGCTTACAATAACCAAAAGGGAGGAATAGTCAAGGGTCTGTCAACAGGTAAATGGACAAATGAAATGTGACATAAATATGCAGTGAACTATTAATCAGCCTTGAAGAGGAAAGAAATTTGAACACACCTACAACAGGGTGACCCTTGAGGATATTCTGCTGAATGAAATAAGCCAAGCACAAAAGGATAAATACTGTATGATTTCATTTACCTGAAATATACAAAGATAGTCAAATTCATAGAATTAGAGAATGGAATGCTAGCTGCTAAGGGTCAAGGAAATGGACAGCACCCTGTAGTGGATTTGGAGTTTCAGTTCAGGAAGATGGAAAAAAGCCTGGAGTTGGGTGATGGTGATAGCAGACTCAATATAATGTAAAGGTATTTCATGCCACTCAACTGTACAGATGTAGAAGTAAGAACAATAATATTATGACCACAAGAAAGAGGAAGAGAATGAGGACAAGGATCATGGTGACCACTTTGCCCTATAAGGAAGATTTCAGGAAATCTGTTTGAACCAGCCTATCTGAGGGATCAAATCAGTTATTCCTGAGAAGGATGGGTCATGGGAGACAGCTGAGGAATTGCAAGGATTGCTTAAACATGGCAGGAAATCAGCTAAAAAATGGAGCGGTTCCACATCAAGAAATCCTTTGGACAATTAAAAAAAATGAGGCCTCCTCAAGGTACAGTGAATTTAACACATAAGGTATATCATGTGGCTCAAAGGACTGCAATGCTCTTCTCTAAGTCTTACAATCTCAGAGAGTTAATTTGCCAGCGGATCAAGGACAAGGTCAAGGGTAGGAAAAGAAGTTGGGAAAAGTTCCCATGCCTGATGGAGGGACACACAAATGACCAAATAAAAACAAAAGAAATCGCCATGTGGAGGCAAAGTAAACCTATCTGTCGGAATTATAGTGAAAACTCACAATCCCGTTATGGAAGAAAGTAATTTCTTCCTCTTTGTAACCCTCCTTGATCGGGCATGTATATGACTGCTTTGAGTGGACTTCAGTTGAAATATAAGCTTCTCGGAGTCTAATTCCGTCTAACACTTAATACCATACACCATGCCCCAGAGGTGACCTTACTGTCCTTATTTGCATATTCCCAGGCATCACATTTGCAAAATCAACGGATCCAAGGCTGCATTACCTATTACAAGCAGAAGGATACAGGCTCACAGTTTCTCAGTGGAGGCAGAAGAACATCAACCCTTCCCATGTTCTTGGTCTGAATAGAAAGGAGCCTGTAACCCAGCCCTCACAAAGGAAGAGCAATGTCCTATGGCTACTTACATACAGTACTGAGAATTCCCCTCTGGTGACAACTCATTTTTCTATGGTACCTGAACTAGATGGAAGACTGAGCAATCATTTGGCAATTTTAGATTATGCATTTCCAATTCAGTTGTCTAGCACGGTCATCGTATATAAATTACCTAGTGCGCTCTAGCTATGAGAGTTTTAATGACTAGTCTGGAAAATGCTGTGTTGACTTAGGGGCACATATCTCTATTGTGCATATATTTGATCCTTTTTGTCAGAGAATTCAAAGTATGGAAGAAAACTGTATGAAAAGATTTCTGAGAGGAAAAAAAACATCAAGGGAATGGTATATATCATATTTCTAGATAGCTACAGTCAGATGATAAAGTTTGGATCTCAAATGTCTACATATTAAAAGGTGGAGTGTGGTGGAAGGTCGTTAGGTCATAATCCAAGGGGATTATGGGATCTAGGTCTGCTCCTTGCTCTCTTCCTGTGCTTTCTCCCTTACTCTAGGCCCAAAGCAATGGGGCCCCAACTAGGGGTTGGAATTTCCTAAACTATGAGCTAAAATAAATCTTTTCTCTCTATAAGCAGATGATCTCAGGCATGTTCTTAGAGTGATGGAAATATGACTAATAACATAGGAGGGAAATGCACAGTAACAGTCATTACTGATTAGTACCATTTGTGTGAACTGGATTAAGCTCAGTGAAATTCATGACTGACTGACAGGGCTGACTTCTGTCCAGTCTGCTGGGTGAGCTGAACTCAGCCACTGGGATCGACTAAGCAACTGAGGAGGATCCATATTAGGAGGGCTCTGTTGGGCTTACTACCCCCACTGACCAAGTGTCCACCAAAGGGAAGGATAGCTGGCCATGGTGGCATGTGCCTGTAATTCCAGCCACTCAGGAGATGGGGGGGGGGGAGGAAATCTTGGTTCAGGACCAGCTCTGGACAAAAGCAAAAGACCCTCTGTGGAAAACAAACAAGAAGCAAAAGGATTCAAGAATGTGACAAAATGTTTGGCTAGCAAGCACAAGGCCCTACATTCAATCCCTAGTACTGCCAGAAAGGTAAAGGATAGAACTAAGAGCTGGTGAGCATCAAGTTTCTGCACATCCCAGGTTTCAAACACCATTCCTCAATAACAGAAGTAGATGATCCCAAGACTAAGGCAGGGAGTTTCCAAGATAAATATGGAGCTTCTTATAGTGCTGATGTGCTTGAAGGTAAGAGTACACCGAATAAACATCCCGGGGCACTGGGGATACATGAGTGGAACATCGAATGCAATACCTTCAATATTCGTAAACAACAACAACAACAAAACTGCTAACAGCCTGAACTAGAACAACTGAATCAACTCAATAACAGCACTAAAATATAACGCAAATATAAAATAAAGGCCCACAAGTTCACCCTGATATACCCTGATGAATACGCAAACACCCTATGCAGAAGAATTCCAAATAATTCGTGAAGATGCTCTGGCTTCCAGGAGGTGGAGCATGATCTGCTCACAGGGGCCTATATGGGTCGAGTAGGTGTGAAAAGAGTAGTTTTAAATCTGAAAAATCTGACCAGCCCTCCCCAAGCCATGTGATGAGCTCAACAGCAAGCAATGTTGATAAATTGCATTGGTATCATGGACCCTGTATAGGTATGATGCAATAGAAATTATAATTTACCGATGTGAGATGATGAAGACATCTTATGGACTGTTCCCAGTTTGTGTTTTTCTTATTATAAGGCAAATATTGGCCAGCAGCTGGTAGTTCATGTCTGTAATCCTAGCTACTCAGGAGGCTAAGATTTGAGGCACATGATTCAAAGCCAGCCTGGGCAGAAAGTCTGTGAGAATCTTATCTCCAATAAGCCAACAAAAAACTAGAAAGGGATATGTGACTCAAGTGGTTGAGCATTAGCATTTTGTAAAAAGAGCAAACAAGAATGCTAGACATTGAATTCAAGCCTCAGTACCATCACACACATACACATACAGACACACACACACACACACACACACACACACACACACA